AGTCCTTCAGCTGCACTGAGTGCGGTAAAATGTTCAGCCTCAAGGGCAATTTGAAGACACACATGAGAATTCACACAGGAGAGAAACCATTTGGTTGTTCAGTTTGTGGAAAGAGTTTTAAACAAAACGTGCATCTGACTGAACACATGACAATTCACACAGGGGAGAAACTCTATAAGTGCAGCATCTGCGGTAAAGGATTCAATAAGAAGTTACTTATTAAAAACCACACCTGTGTTTAAGCTTGGACGCTTTATCAGCTCTGATCACATCCACAGATTTATATTCATAAGTCACTTAATATTAAAGCTGTAGTGATTCATAGTATGTTTCTGAGTGTTGCATACATTTTTGTCATTTATATTGAAAATATAGAGCATTGAGCCTAAATCTTCCTGCATAAGGTTTAAGTGCTGCATCCTGACAGCAACAAAAAGACTCTGGGATGTGCAATACAGTGGAACCCCGACTTACGAATATCCCATTTAACGAAAAATTCAAGTTACGAAGGCACTTAACGGCAATATATCTGCCCGTGTTACAGCAAAATGCCCGCGTAACGAAATCCGCTGGCTCTGATTGGCTGAGCCCAGAATGCCTACAATAACCACAATACCTTCCGAATCATGTGACAACCCCCTTGGCTTTCGTACTTGCGCTTCGCTGTTCCACTTGAACGACGTATTTTTGTTGTAGTTAGCAATTAGCCTACAGCCTATCTTTCACTCTAAAGCCGCGATGGGTGCTTCGACTTTCAAACATTTTCGACTTACGAAAGACCCTCGGGAACGAATTAATTTCGTAAGTCGGGGTTCTACTGTATTTTCATAATGAACCTGTAGAATAGATTTGTCCAAAGAAGCGAGTATGTTGATTTAAATGTTTGTGGCTGAGCATACATGAAAACAATCCGCCTCACTATTTAAATTTGTTTTATCAAATATTGCATCAAATTTATATCATTGTCTGAATACAAGAAAAACAAACCTGTTTAAAATGCTGCAATTTGAATGAGTTACACCTGACCCCCTCAGAATCAGCTCATCTTCTTCTGCAGGAGTTTAGCATATTTAATCACACTATGTTAAATTACGTTACTTTCATACTATGAGTATTTTCACTTACAGAACCTCAAAGTATTTGGTCTTCACTCTGTGACACTGCAGGAAACACCGACTATAGACCAAATCTGTTTCTGTTTGTCAGCATGAGCCATCACACAGTTCAGCATCAGTGTGATGAATCAGTCCTCTTTTCATACCAGGGTGATCTTAGTTCCTTCTGTGTCAAAATAATTTTCTGATATAGGAAGTTTTTAACCCTATGAAGCTGACTCGTGCCTGTGAAATCCCGTTCTGTGTAACAGATTGGACAGACCACATCAGCCTAACAGCATTACGTCCTGAATAAGGTTTTATGACTGTTTGAAGGTTCTGGATCCCAGAGAACTCGGGCTTAATGTTGAGCTTCTCATCAGTTTAGAGGGGGGCTGCTGCTGCTGCTCGTTCATGTTGATCCATCCATGTAGAAGAAAGTCTGCTGGTGCTAAAGGAAGTTGGCCACTGACAGATTTTTCATGGAATGATGCTGCTGTTGAAATATTTACTCTTGAAACCTCCTGACTCCTGAATTTCCTTCCTTGCAGAAACATTTTCCGTTTGTGAATATGTGCATTTATAAATTTAAAATTCCGAGTCTAAAAGCTTTACTGTCTGCACACTTCTTGATTGTGAGGCTCACATGAAGCCGAACTTTGACAACATCCCTTTAATGGCTGATATATATATATATAT